ACCCGGTTGGGGTTTGGGGTTTGGGGTTTGGGGTTTGGGGTTGGGGGTTTGGGGCTGCGGGCGAGGGGAGGCAGTGGAGCTCTGGGTTCTGCGGGATTAGGGTTTAGGGTTTAGGGTTTAGGGTTTAGGGTTTAGGGTTTAGGGTTTGTGCGCAGTTGGAGAGCAGGACGAGCGGATATCCATAACTGCTGTGTGTCTTTCTTTGGCGGTTCATTTGCTTTGCTTTTGCATCGGCTTTATTCTCTCTTTTCCCAAACACGTTTCTTTCGCGCGACAGGTTAGGGTTTAGGGTTTAGGGTTTAGGGTTTAGGGTTTAGGGTTTGGGGTTTAGGGTTTAGGGTTTGGGGTTTAGGGTTTGGGGGTTGGGGTTTGCTGCTGCGCGGCTCGTGGCGCTGTCGCTGTTGCTGCTTTCCAGCTCTTCAGGGTTGCCGCCGTTGCTGCTGCGGCGGCAATTAGGGTTTAGGGTTTAGGGTTTAGGGTTTAGGGTTTAGGGTTTAGGGTTTGCGCGCAGATATTTCTGGTTTATAGCGTGGCGGCTTTCTGCGTGGAGATTCAACAGCGGTTTGTCGAAGATGATGACTCTTTAAATTTCTTGCCTTTCATTTCGGGTCTTTTGCCCTTCGAGAAAATAATGGTAAACCCTAAACCCTAAACCCTAAACCCTAAACCCTAATTTGGGGGTTTCGAAAAGGTTGCGAAACCCTACGCCTGCTCGCGGGGTTTCAGCTTTCGGACTTGAGGGTTTAGGGTTTGGGGTTTGGGGTTTAGGGTTTTCTGGGGTCAGCGGCGTCAGCCGGCGTGTCAGCTAGGGTTTAGGGTTTAGGGTTTAGGGTTTAGGGTTTAGGGTTTGTGGTTTGTGTCGTATCGCACGTGTGCGAGCGCTTCATAGCTCGTTCTTTCGCGGCTCCGCGTGTTTGAAGGGTTTAGGGTTTAGGGTTTAGGGTTTAGGGTTTAGGGTTTGTGGTTTGTGGTTTGTGGTTTGGGTTTGAAAAGTTCTTCAGGGCTTTATTTCCCTTCATCTTCGTGGCCAGCGCATGCACTGCTGCGTGGCAGTTCGCGGATATCCCCGCGAGGCACTGGGCGGTTTTGCGGGCCCTCTTATCCACCAATAGAGTGTTAACGGAAAGGACTCAAGAACTTGTCCGCGCCACTTGTAAGCAGCAGCAGCAGCAGCAGCAGCAGCAGCAGCAGCAGCAGCAGCAGCAGCAGCGGCAGCAGCAGCAACGGGAGGGGGCGGGGTGCGGGGAGGGGCGCGGCGGGGAACGCAGCAAACGCGGGCGCCGTAGGTGGCCTGGGTCTTATGTTCCTGCTGCTGCTGCTGCTGCTGTTGCTGCTGCTGTTGCTGCTGCTGCTGCTGCTGTGCTGCAGCTTATTTGAAGTCTATGGGAACTCCGTCTGTGGCGGCGCTGAAGGCCATGGGGCAGCAGCAGCAGCAGCTGCAGCCTGCTGCAGTTCGTGCGAAGGCAGCAGGTGGGTTTGCTGCTCGCAGCTTTGACGGTTAGGGTTTAGGGTTTAGGGGTTAGGGTTTAGGGTTTAGGGTTTGGGTCTTGCGCTGCTGCTGCAGGCGTGGACGTGGCTGCGCAGCCTGCTGCTGCTGCAGCGCCAGGTGTACGTACACCCCAGGCCCCGCCCGCAAACCCCAACCAGACGCAGCTGGAGAGTTTTGCTGCTGGACTTTCAGAAGAACAAAAAGAGCATTTTAAAAGAGTTATTGAAGAACAAGTAAATTTAAATTGCTTTTATCTTTTTATTCTTTTTTCTCTTTTTATTCTTTTTTATCTTCTCCAGTTTAGTCTAAATTGCTTCTTATTCTCTTTTTCTCCCAAGTGCAAAGGCCCCCGCCGCTGCTGCTGCTGCTGCTGCTCTTGCTGCAGCACGCAGTACTGCTGCTAACACCTACAGCAGCAGCAGCAGCAGCAGCAGCAGCAGCAGCAGCAGCAGCAGCAGCACTGAAGGGCAAATATGAGATCAGTTTGGTCTCTCTGTTGGCCAGAATAATGGGGAGGGGAATTAATTAATTAATTAATTAATTAATTAATTAATTAATTAATTAATATGTTAATTAATTAATGCAAGTTAAATATAAAATTTAAAAGTAAAGTTAAGCATAAAACACTAAGGCTGCTAAAAGGTGAAATAGAATAAAATGGAGTTAAAAAAGAAGTTTTTTTGTGGCTTTTTGTGGACCAGTGGAATAGTTGGAGAAATGAAAAAAATAAAATAAATAAAAGTTTTAAAAACTTTTGTTTATTCTAAAACTTTTTAATAAATAAAAGTTTTAAAAACGTTTATTTATTTTAAAACTTTTCAATAAATAAAAGTTTTAAAATGAACTTTCTGGTGTCTGGGGTGTCTGCATGCAGTACCGAAGGGCAGAGAGAGAAAGCAAAGAAAGAGAAACCCACAAGGGCTGGAAAGATATAAACTGGAGCCAAATGTTGCTGTGGGGGGGTCTGTTTGTGGCCTGGTTGTACTGCAAATGAGGCGAAAAAAGGGAAATAAATTAAAAATAATTAAAAATAAACAATTAAATTCTTTTATTTATTTATTTCGGCTTTTATTTGATCCATTTATTCGTTTTCCGAGGCGAACGACGCCACTTGGGGTGTACGTACACCCCGCTGGGGTGTACGTACACCCCAAGCACCCCGCCTCTAGCTTTCCCACCAACGCCTTTTCTCCTTTTTCTTCATTATTTCTCTTTTAGTCCACTTCGAGTCTATTTGAAGCCTCTGGGGCTTTCCTTTTACTCTTTTTTCTCCATTTTCTCTTTTAATTGCGCAAATTCCGAAGAAAATCCCAAGTCCTCTAGGCCTTATTAACTACTAATGTGCACATGCACATATATACTTATATATGTTTATATGGCATTTTAGCGCAAATTTAGACTCCAAATATCCCTAATATTGCAATTATTATATTATATTTATATTATATTCATATTATATTTATATTAATTATATTTATATTATATTTATTGCGCTTATTATTCGCATTTTGTTTATTTCCAATTGCGGACAGCTAAGAAGGCCTGCATGCAGAGACTGGGGCCCCACACGTGCGGCCACTTGTGCAAATATAATTTAATTTCTTAAATGCAAATTTATTATTTTTAATTTTCTCTTATTTGACTTTTTACTTGTTCACTGCATCATCTCAAATGCACATCGTGGCAACTCACAATAGTTTAATAAGACCTATATATGCGTGCATGCATGCATGCATATGTAGCTGCATGCATGCATGCATGCATGCATTTTTTCGTGCATGCATGCATGCATATATAGCTGCATGCATGCATGCATGCATTTTTCCATGCATGCATGCATGCATGCGTGCATGCATGCATGCATGCATGCATGCGTGCATTTGTAGCGGAAGTGGGCTCATATGTTTGTGGTGGACGATATGAATGCGTTTTTAGTTGTTTATATTTACTTTATTGAATTATAAATTAATTATAAATGCTAATTTATATTTATAAAGTTATAAATGTGCATTTCTACTTATTCAAATAAAGCCAGCCGTGTGGGCCGGCGTGGTGTAGCTCTCCCGGTGTATAAGGATTTAGACATTAAAGTGTGTAAATAAATATGTTTATTAAAATATAATTATTTATTTATTTATTTGTTTATTATTTGTTGTTGAAATAATAAACAAATCCATTTGCAAATGTGCATTTGGACAAACGCGCACTGCATTGGGGTGTACGTACACCTGGAGGCCCGAAACGAAGAGAAGAATTTGTTCATTTGTCTTCTCTTTGTTGCTGCTTCTAAATGAACGCATTATTACCATTATTATAAATTATTATTATTTATTATTATTGTTATTATTATTATTTATTATTATTTATTATTATTATTATTATTGCAAACAATTCTTTTCGCAAAGACACCGAGAGGAGCTCCGGCTTGCGCAGCCACTCAGGTGTACGTACACCTCAGCATGCGCGTGTAGACACCGCAGCAACTCTTTTGCAACTGCTGCAAATATAAATAGATATAAAACTATTTATTTATTATTTATTATTTATTTATTTATTATTTATTATTTATTTATTTATTTCGTAGCCCATTAGACAAAAGAAACAAATTAGTTTGGGGCCTTTCTGAAGGAGCCAATAATGCCCCGAGCTGTACATACAGCTGGGGAGGGGGGGACAAAAAGAGGCCATGGACCATTCGAGACCCGCAGCTGCTGCTGCTGCTGCAGCTGCTGCTGCTGCAGCTGCAGCTGCTGCTGCTGCAGCTGCAGCTGCTGCTGCAGCTGCTGCTGCAGCTGCTGTGCCGCTATTCCCGTGATGCGGCTGCTGCTGCTGCATCTCTGCTGCTGCTGCTGCTGCATCTCTGTTGCTGCTGCTGCTACATCTCTGTCGCTGCTGCTGCTGCATCTCTGCTGCTGCTGCTGCTGCATCTCTGCTGCTGCTGCTGCTGCTGCTGCTGCTTAGGAGGCAGCATAGATTTCTTCTCCGTCGGCGTTGGGGACTTCTTGGTGTTCTTTGTCGAAGACTTCCATGTGCTTCAGCTGGAGTGTGGGGTCTGCTGCTGCTGCTGCTGCTGCTGCTGCTGGCGAAGCCACAACAGCAACATAGTTGTTTGTCTTTGTGTCTGCCATTGCTTCCGCGAGGCTTTTGGCAAAAGTTATAATATCTTCTTTGGTGGTATTCAGCACCTGCAAACAAACAAAAGAACAAAACCAAAAACAACTAATTAAACCAATTCAAAAACCAGCAGCAGCAGCAGCAGCAGCAGCAGCAGCAGCAAAGTGTCTGCAAGCAGCAGCAAACAGCCTCTCCCCCCGCTCAGCAGCAATATCCCTCGCGTCGCAGCAGCAGCAGCAGCAGCCGCCGCCCCGCGCTCCCCCCGCCCCCCCCGCTGCCGCTGCTGCTGCTGCTGCTGCTGCTGCTGCTGCAGCTGCTGCTGCAGCAGACCTGCTGCCGGAACTTGTGTCTGTGCTGCTGCTGCTGCCTGGCCAGCAGCTGCCAAAAAGCCTTAGTCCCCTTTTTGTCATTAGGAAGGGGAAAGTCGACTTCGCGGAGAAAAGCCAAAACGGCCTTTTGGAGTTTTTGTGGGGTGGCAGCAGCAGCCCACTGCAGCAGGAACTGGGGTGTCTGCGCATACACCCGAAGAGTCTGCTGCAGCAAAGGGTCCCTATAAGACACAAAAGAATAAAACCCCGAAGCATCCAGCAGCAAACTGCTGCCATAGGCCCCCCCCTGCTCCCTTACAAGACCCCACAAGTGCTGGGAGGAGACGATCCCACACCCCACAAACCCGGGGCCCCACACCTCCCGCCCCACACCCCACACGCGCCCGCCCAGGCCCACGTAGTTGACCTGCGCATGCATGCACACATTTATAATTGTTTGGTTATTTATTTATTTTATTTATTTTATTTATTTGTTTTTTTTATTTGTTTGTTTATTTGTTTGTTTTATTTATTTGTTTGTTTGTTTGTTTTGTTTATTTGTTTGTTTTGTTTATTTGTTTGTTTATTTGTTTGTTTTGTTTATTTGTTTGTTTATTTGTTTGTTTGTCTTGTTTGTTGTGTTTGTTTATTTGTTTTATTTGTTTATTTGTTTTATTTGTTTGTTTGTTTGTTTGTTTTGTTTGTTTGTTTGTTTTATTTGTTTTGTTTTATTTATTTGTTTGTTTTGTTTGTTTTATTTGTTTGTTTTTATTTGTTTTGGTTTTGTTGAATTCTGTTCATTAAAACAAAATTAAATTAAATTAAATTAAATCCGAATAAAAATCAAAATTAAATTAAAAATAAAATTAAAGAAAATGTCTGAGAAAGGGAAGACTAGAAGGGAATAGAAAGAAAGGAGAAAGAAACAGAAAAAGGAGGTGCAGCACAGCAGCAGCAGCAGCAGCAGCAACTGCTGCTGCTGCACAGCAGCAGCAGCAAAAGAGCAGCAGCAACAGTAGCAGCAGCACATCAGTATCAGCACATCAGCAGCAGCACATCAGCAGCAGCACATCAGGAGCACACCACAAGCAGCACAGCAGCAGCAGCAGCACAGCAGCAGCAGCAGCAGCAGCAGCAGCAGCAGCAGCAGCAGCAGCAGCAGCAGCAGCAGCAGCAGCCAAATACCTTTGTGGGGACCAGAAGTGCTTCTCTGACGGGTTTGTTCAGCAGCTGCTGCTGCTCAATTTGGGAAACCCAAAATTGTTTTCTGTCGAAGCCTCTTTGTCCAAAAGGAGTGGAAAGCATGGTTTCGGTGTTTGCTGCTGCTGCTGCTGCTGCTGCTGCTGCTGCAGCAGACCCCACAGGCAGCCCCCCCAGCAAACCCCGCAGCGCCTCCAAACCCTCGCCTGCTGCTGCAGCAGCTAAGCTGCTGCTGTCTCCAGTTAAGTTCACTAAAGTGTTTTCCCGCTGCAGCAGTTTGCTGCGCAAACTCTCCAACTCTGCTGCCAAAGACGGCCAGTCTGTCTCCGCCTGCAGCAGCAGCAGCAGCAGCAGCAGCAGCAGCAGCAGCAGCAGCAGCACGGAGGCAGCAGCAAGGAGGGCATTGAGTGCACTAATGAAATTAAATGGCTACTAATTTAAACACTTAGTTCTTTAATTCAGTTTAAAAATAAATTTAATTAATTAATTCAATTAATTGAAACAATTTAATTAATTAATTTCAATTAATTAATTCAAATTAATTAATTAATTAATTCAAGTTAATTAATTAATTAACTAGAAAACAAATACATAGACAGCTGCTTCAAAAGCTGCTGCGCTGCGTTACAGACCCAGCAACCCTAAACCCTAAACCCCAAACCCTAAACCCTAAACCCTAAACCCCAAACCCTAAACCCTAAACCCTAAAACCTCTACACCGCCCGATTCCCAGCTCCCGCCCCCTAGGTCCCAAACCCTAAACCCTAAACCCTAAACCCTAAACCCTAAACCCTAGCCTCTGCCTCCGCACGCCCACCCCCAAACCCCAAACCCCAAACCCTAAACCCTAAACCCTAAACCCTACTTTCCCGGAGAGCACGAGGAAGCCGAGGCTGTCGAGGGGGTCTGGAACAGTGTTGGGGGTTTTGCTGAGGGACCTGAAGTCCAGGGAAACCCTAAACCCTCCGGTGGTTTCTGCAATTTGGTGCTGCAGCTGCTGAGGGTTTAGCTGCCCCGCCCCCGTCTCCAGCAGCAGCCGCCCCAGCAGCCGCAGCAGCGGCAGCTGCTGCAGCGCAACAGCAGCAGCAGCAAAATAAACCTCCGCGTACAAAACCCCCCGCGTTTGCAGCTCGTGCGAAACCACCCCAACTCCTTCCACGGGAAAGCAAGAAGACGGGATTTCGTTCTTCGCCTGCGCGCACACACACGGCTAGCTAGCTAGCTAGCTAGCTAGCTGGCTAGCTGGCGGGCTAGCTGGCGGGCTGGCGGGCTGGCTGGCGGGCTAGCTGGCTGGCTAGCTGGCTAGCTGCGGCTAGCTGGCTGGCTAGCTAGCCACGCAGCCAGACAAGCGACAGCTAGCTAGCTAGCTAGCTAGCTAGCTGGCTGGCTAGCCAGCTCCGCAGCTAGCCAACAACAGCTAGCTAGCTGGCTAGCTAGCCACGCAGCTAGCCAAGCAACAGCTAGCTACCTAGCCACGCAGCTAGCCAAACTACAGCTAGTTGGCTAGCTAGCTAGCTAGCCAAGCAACAACTAGCTAGCTAGCTAGCCAAACAACAGCCAGCTTGCTAGCTAGCTACCTAGCCAAAGAGCTAACTAACAAACAGCTACCTAGCCAGCAGGCTAGCTAGCCAAACAGCCAGATGAACAAACAGCTAGCTAGCTAGCTAAGGAGCTAGCTAGCCAAACAGCTACCTAGGTAGATAGCTGGCTAGCTGGACGGACGGCTAGCTCGCTGAACTGCTGGCTGGGTAAACAGCTAGCTAGCTGGATGGCTGGGTTGTAGAGCAGCAGCAGCAGCATTAGCAGCAGCAGCAGCAGCAGCAGCAGCAGCAACAGCAGCAGCAACAGCAGCAGCAACAGCAGCAGCAACAGCAGCAGCAGCAGCAGGCTTGCCTCCGCGACGTCTTCAAGGCTAAGGATCGGCAGCGACTTCAGAGCCTCTTCAGAGTCCTCCGACAGCTGCAGCAAACACCCACGATGCCTCTTGCAGCTAGCTAGCTAGCTAGCTAGCTGGCTAGCTAGCTAGCTAGCTAGCTAGATATGTAGCTAGCTAGCTAGCTAGCGAGCTAGCTAGCTAGCTAGCTAGTTAGATAGAAAGACAGCTCGCTAGCTAGCTAGCTTAATAGATATGTAGCTAGCTAGTTAGTCAGCTGCAGGGCCGGGCAACTAGCCGGCCAGCTAGCCAGTTAGCCAGCTAGCTAGCTAGCTAGCCAGCTAGCTGGCTAGAGAGCCAGCAAGCTACCCGATACAGCTACTTAGGCAGCTACCAAGAGCCACCTAGCTAGCTAGCTAGCTAGCTGGCTAGCTGACTAGCTAGCCAGCCCCACAGCTAGCAAGCCAGACAGCTAGCTAGCCACATGGCTAGCTAGCCAGCCGTCCAGCCAGGCAGCTAGCTAGCTAGCTAGCTAGCTAGCTGCCGACCTGTCTCTGCTTGAGGGCAATCTGGTCCGAAAGAATGTTTTCGACAAGAGCTGGAGTTAATTCGTTTTGGATTTTTTGAAGTTTTTTTTTTTCTTCTGCTGCTTCTCGAGCTTCCATTTCGGGGTCTCCATACAGCCGCAAAGTCACGCGGTGCGGGTTCTCCAGCAGGTACCTGCGCAGCAGCAGCAGCAGCAGCAGCAGCAGCAGCAGCAGCAGCAGCAGCAGCGGCAGGAGGTGCAGCAGGTGCGGTAGGAGCGATGCAGCAGCAACAGGTGCAGCAGCAGCAGCAGCAGGAATTGCAGCAGTGGTTGTAGCACCAGCAGTAGTAATAGTAATAGCAGCAGCAGCAGCAGCAGCAAAAGCAGCAGCAGCAGCAGCAGCAGCAGCAGCAGCAGCAGCACTAAAGGTGTTTAGTTCGTTTAGCTTCAGAAGACAAAACAGACAAAAATCCCAGAAAAGAAATTAGAAAAAGAGAAGAAAACAAACATAAACAAATAAATAAATAATTAATTAATTAATATGTAAATAAACAAACAAACAAATAAATAAATAAATTAATAAATTAAACAAAGAAGCGAACAAACAAAAACATAATATAACAAATAAAACAAATAAATAAAACAAACAAAACGAATAAATAAAACAAATAATAAAACAAATAAATAAAACAAACAAATAAATAAATCAAATTAAATTAAATTAAATTAAATTAATAATTGAATAAATTAAATTAAATCAAATTAAATTAAATTAATGCATAATTCGGACTTTTGGATAAGGCTTTGGCAGATACCTTCTCTAAAACAAATACATCAAATCAAATCAAATAAACAAATAATTAATTAAATTGAATCAATTAATTAATTAAATCAAATAATTAAATTAATTAATTAAATAATTAAATTAAATTAAATTAAATTAAATTAAATTAAATTAAATTAAATTAAATTAATTAAGTTCGGACTTTTTAATCAGGTTTTGGAAAAGATCTTCTTCTTTTTGCATTCTTTCGCGAAGTTCTTTCAAAGGAGCAGCAAAAGATATCGCAGCTATTGGGTCCTGCAAATAATAAAAAATAAATAAATAAATAATAAATAAATAAATAAATAAATAAATAAATGGATTAATAAATAAATAAACAAATACATAGATAAATAAATAGATAAATAAATAAATAATGAATGAATAATTAATAAACAGATAATTTAAATTAAATAAATAGATTAACCAATTAACGAGTAAGTAAACAAAATATTAATTAATTATTTAATTTAATTTGATTTAATTTAATTTAATTTAATTTAATTAAATAATTCACTCTGTCGTATTTGCTGCAGTGTCCATACAGAGAATGAAGACAAATCGTTTAGAAAGGATAAACAACAAAAACACTCCAATTATTAAATCAAATTATTTAATTTAATTTAATTAATTAAACTAATTTAATTTAATTTAATTTAACTTAATTTAATTAAAATAAATAAATTAAATTAAATTAAATTAAATTAATTAATTCACTTTGTCGTAATTCGCTTCCGTGTCCATATCGAAAACGAGGCCAAATTATTTAAAGAAAAAAACTACAAAAGCACTTCAACTAAACTAAACTGATTAATTTAAATTAATTAAATTAATTAAATTAATTAAATTAATTAAATTAATTAAGTTAATTAATTAATTAAACTAATTGATTTAATTAATTAATTTAATTAATTAATTAAATTACTCTGTCATAATTTGCTTCCGTATCCATGTCGAGAATGAGACAACAAAAGCACTTCAATTAAACTGAACTGATTAATTTAAACTAATTAAATTAAATTATTTAATTTAATTTAATTAGTTAAATTAATTAATTAATTTAATTAATTAATTTAATTAATTAATTTAATTAATTAATTAATTTAATTACTCTGTCGTAATTTGCTTCCGTGTCCATGTCGAGAATAAGGCTAAGTCCTCTCGGGAAAGTGCCGGTGTTTAATTCTCTCAAACTAAACTCCAAAGTGTTGGCAGCAGCAGCAGCAGCAGCAGCAGGAAATCCTGTCTCCGCCAGCTGCTGCAGACACTGCAGCACCACGGCCTCCACTTCTGCTGCTGCGCCCTCTCGCTGCGCCACTCCTGCAGCAGCAGCAGCAGCAGCAGCGCATTGTTATTATTAGCAGCAGCAGAAACAGATTCTGCTGCAGCAGCAGCAGCAGCTGTAGAAGCAGCAGAACCAGCAGCAATAGCAGCAGCAGCAGCAGTGGCATTGATACCAGCAGCAGCAGCACAAGCAGCAGCAGCAGCAGCAGCAGCAGCAGCGCATTGTTATTATTAGCAGCAACAGAAACAGATTCTGCTGCAGCAGCAGCAGCTGCTGCAGAAGCAGCAGAACAAGCAGCAGTAGCAGCAGCAGCAGCAGTGGCATTGATACCAGCAGCAGCAGCACAAGCAGCAGCAGCAGCAGCAGCAGCAGCAGCAGAGAGAGAGGAAGCAGCAAAGAAAGACCAAAAGGAGTCAAGGAGACAAAAGGGACACAACAGAAAAAAGAAACTGGAAAACGAAAAAAGGGGAAAAAAAGAAATTAAAAAATAAAAACAAAAAAAGATAAAAAGATCAAATAAAAAGAAAGTAAAAGGCAGAAAATAAAATACAAAAGGATATAAAAAGGGGACAAAAAAAAGACAAAAAAGAAACAAAAAAGAAGCAAAACAGGGACATAAAAAGTGAAACAAAAAGGAAACAAACAGGAAATAAAAAAGAAATTAAAAAGAAATAAAAAGCAAACAAAAAGAAACAAACAAGAAATAAAAAAGAAATAAAAAAGAGATAAAAAAGAAGTAAAAAAAAGAGGAAATAAAAAGGAAATGAAAAGGACAAAAAGCCAAAGAAATGCAAAAAGGCTCCCAAAAGCTCCAAAAAAACGCAAAAGAATTTTTAAAAAGCTTTTAACAACTTTTAAAAACTTTTTAAAACTCTGCAGAAGAATAGAACTCTTCTGGAGCTCCAGAAAGCCCCAAAAAGCTCCAAAAAGGATAAAAAGAAATAAAAAGAATTTGAAAAAACAAAAAGAGAGAAAGGAGACAAAATGGCAGATAAAGGCCCCCAGAGACTCCAAAAGGCTCGGAAAAAAGCGCGGAAGAATTTTAAAAAGATTTAAAATCATTTTAAAAAACCATTTCTTTCAAAGAGCTGCAAAAAGGCGCAGAAAGAATAAATTTGAGTCGCCAGATCTTTCAAAGAGATGCAAAAAGGTGCAGAAAGAACCAAAAAAGAGCAAAAGAGGCCAAAAGGAGTCCAAAAGAACCCAAAAAAAGACTCAAAAGATGGCCAAAGTCCCTCCCAACAAAGAGTTTCAAAAGAACTTCAAAAGAACTTCAAAAGAACTTCAAAAGAACTTCAAAAGATTTCAAAAAAGCTTCAAAAAAGCTTCAAAAAAGCTTCAAAAAAGCTTCAAAAAAGCTTCAAAAGACTTCTAAAAGCTTCAAAAGAACTTCAAAAGAGCTTAAAAAGAGGGCGAAAGGCAAAAAGGCACAGCGAAATGGAGGCAGTTTGTCGATGCGGAAAAGTGTCGCAAAAAGTGGAAAAAGAAGCCCGAAAAGCGGAAAAAAAGGCGCAAAGGAGAAGAAAAGAAGGCGCAGCAGACTAAGGGATGAACAGAGCTCGAAAAGAGCTGCGGAAAGCTGCAAAAAGCTGCGAAAAAGAAGAAAAACTGACCCTTGAGGCCCGCGGAAAAAGTGGCGTACTTCAAATCCAGACTGAGACCCCCGCCCACCACCGCGCGCCCCAAATGGCTGTCGGCCAGCGCCTTATAAAGCGGGCTGGCGGGAGTGCCCAGCAGCAGGTAAGAAAGGGCCTGCAGCGCGAGCTTCTCGCTGCTGCTGCTGCTGCTGCTGCTGCTGCTGCTGCTGCTGCTGCTGCTGCTGCTGCTGCTGCTGCT